CTCTCCAAATGACATCCGCCCCTGTACGGGATAAGCTGCTTCTCGCAAAGATGTTTCTTGAGAGAGAACGACGTCTCTAACAGAGTTTGTTCTGGGTGACTGGCAATGAAAATCCTGGATTTACTTAACTTCGGTTCAAGTAATCTCAATCGGTTCACAGTGCTGCAAGTTCGTTTGATCTCTCTCCATCAAGTCTTTTTAACAGCTTCATTGAGATATTTCACATACCACAAAATTCACCCATTTCAAGTTGTATAATTCAGTGGTTATTTAGTATAGTCACGGAGTTGTGCAAACATCACCACAATCCAATTTGAGAACATGTTCGTCACCCTAAAAAGAAACCCCGCCCATGAGCTGTCACTCCCCTTCTCCCTACAAACCCAGCCCCAGGCAACCCTAATCTACTTTCCATCCTTTCAAAAGGCTTTATAGGAAAATAATCCTAGAATTTACTTTGATTTACTTCTCCTTGGCTGTTACAAGATTGAAAAGTCACACTAGCATGATGCCAAAAAAAGAAAAAAGAAAATCAACAATGATAGTTCTGTTAGGTCTCCACACACAGAGGGCGGGGGGCAGGCATGTGCTCCACAAAGCCCTGACAGTCTCTGCTAGTCTCCGCGTCAGATGCATCAGACTGAGTCAGCGGACCTGGCTCTCGCGATGGTGCTGAGGCCCGACCATCCTCTGAGCTGATGCTCACCATTGATCTCTTTAGCAGAGGGTGGCATACGGCTTTCCTGATGGAAGTTTTTTGCAATAATTAACGACACTTCTTCTCAAGCCAGAAGAGTGATTTCTATTGTAAACTTGGGGCACAGGGTGCCAGACTGAAAAGGACGTTGACGGTGCACCAGGACCCCCTTCAGCTCTGACCTGTCGCACCTGCTGTGGGAGACACGGCAGAGCGTTCTCCTAAACATCCCTCAGAGGTGCAAAGTGACTCAACAACAGGACAGATAATGCCTCAACTGCTGGGGAACAGCAAAGGAAGCAGATTTGTTCTGCAGTTGCTAAACTTAATCCAAGTAAACCTCTTCTTAGAAGCAGTCAAGCAGCAATACCCAGACTGTCTGTGACAGCACACACGCGCGTTAGTTACGCCCAGCTCCGCACGCCGCTGCCAGAGCACTCCTGAAGCAGTTGATCGCGGTGGGCTGCGACAGATGTTTTCGAACTGTCACCTTTTGCATTGTGTTAATCTCTTAGCCTGACGTCTGGATTTAAGGACATGGACAGTGATTAGTGTTTACAAATCAGTCACAACAGAACTGCGAGGAGAAAGGAATGGTGCTTGGGCCTGTTATCTTTACAAATCCTCAAATTTTTAATGTGATTCAAGTTGATTCCCTTGGAAACCACAAGACTTGCTCACTAGCAAATGGGCATGACCTGGATAATGAGTCCTTCTGTCTGGTGCCTCGGCGCCCCGCTGGCCCATACAAATAGCGCAGTTCTAAATCATTTTAGCTTCTGGAATAGCTTCAAGGACAAAGAGTGCTTCTTTGTATTTGTCAAAAGTAGACTGAAGGTGCTGGGAGGAGGAAACGGACAGGTATGGACTGCAGCTTGCGGAAAGCAGGCAGGATGGGAGGGGTTTTCCCAGTGAGAGATGGTTTGGGAAGCAGTACCGAAGCTCTCCCTCCCGCGGGCCCCCCTCAGACTGCTGGTGATGCACACTGTCCAAGTGCTTCCCTCTGCCTTTCTCAGTAAAACATGAATTCAGATTATTAAGAAAAAAGAAAGGGATGGAAACTCACATTTAGTTGACATCTGTTCTTTGCTAGCTAAGGTTTTAATACACCACTTAATTTAATTATCATACCAAATCTACGAAAAGAAAGAACAATTCTGATGTGCATATAAGGAAATAGGGCTCCGGTGAATGAAAGACTTGCCCGAGGCACAGAGATGTTAGGTGGCAGGGCGGAGACACAGGCAGACGGCTGACCACTGCGTCCACTCCCCTGCTCAGGAGGCACTGAATTTAAAGCCTGCATTCGCGCTCTCTCTTTTACAGTCATCGTTTTTAGCAATAAATTATTTTTAATTAGGTATGTACATTATTTTGTAGACACAATGCTATTGCACACTTAACAGACTGCAGTAGAGTGTAAATATACCTTTTATATGCGCTGGGAAACCAAAGGGTCCTGTGACTCACCTTATGGTGATATTTGCTCTATTGAGGTGGTAGGAAACTGACCCATACCGGCTCCCATCCGCCTGCGCTCTGACCCTGGCTCTTGCCACCCTCTTCCACTTCTAAGAACCCTTCTGGTTGCACTGGGCCCACCTGAATAATCTAGGGGATTCTAGGGTGATCTCTCTCTTAATGTCAACTGAGTAGCAACTTTAGGAATTAAGGTTGCTATCCCAGTCTGCAATAAAAGCTTGCATTTTTCGACAGCAGTCTAGTTGGCAAGAACCCTTACTGGGAAGGCTCTTCTGAGGCAGTGTGTCTGAGCTGCCGCTTGGGCCCTGGCATTGCACCAGCCCCGCAGTGCACGCAACCTGTTGGGCCCAAAGCTCTGGACACATTTCCCTACAGAAATAATAACACGCATGTGTCTGGCTTCCTAGTCTAGTCTACAAAACCTACTTTATGAAATACTGAAAATGGTACTAATGGCACCTCAGAACCTACCATGGAATAATGTTTCTGTGGGAAAAAAATTAGTTGCGATCCCAGAAACATAGATCTTATTTACAGTGAAACGGGGGGCTGTCCCAGCTCCAGGCCACCAGTGGTGGTTCCCACCGCTGGGCAGGAACTATGGACCCCAGCGAACAGAGGAGGTGAGGGAGCGGAGCCAGATGAGGGGCTGGAGAGGCCTCGCGCGGCCTGTGGGGAGCCCAGGAAGGACTCAGGGCTGGGAGTGAGCTGGCGGCCTGGGCCTGGGCCTGGGCCTCGGCCTCCAAGGGGGCGTGTAGGAGCAGCCTGGGTGTTTCATAACCATCAAGCGCTGAGGTCATTTCTCAGCCCAGCCAGTCTTTCTCTTCTCTTGAATGTGCCCCACTGTCTCTTCTAGTCCAGTTCCCCTTCTTCTCTTCCAAGCCACCCTTCTCCTTTCCGCTGAGGGTCCCACATGAGGGTCCAATGACTTTATAACCCCCTAACTTTCTGAAACACGTTGTGTCCGTCTACCTGCAAATCTGACCACGGTCGGTGCTCCTCAGTTGTGTGTCCATCCCTCCCCACCTGCCCCACAGAATGAAGCCGTCCTTTCAGATGGGAAACAGCTCCCTGAAGCCCCTCCCCCTCCCCCACACCGTCCCTGCCTCCCGGGCTCAGTGACAGCAGCATTGAGATGCTGTCAGTCCCCAGGATGTGTCCTGTTGTCTTGAGCTTCCTCATGCTGGTCCCTTGGCCCGAATTGCTCTTTCAGTCTTTCTTCTTCTGTTACCTCTCCATCATCCTCTGAGACAGCTCACAGCCATCTCCCGAGACTGCTCCAGCCCCAGGCAGGGATGTGTCCTTGTCTGTGTTCCTGACGCAGCCGCCCCCACTTAAACTGCATTATACTGAAGCCATTTACATGTTCTTCTTCCCTAGTTCCACGTAAGTGTACACTTGCTGGGACAGTCATGCCCATTCTCGTCACACCCAACACCTGCCACAGCTCCTAGCAGGGGACAGTCATGCCCATTCGCACACACAGCACCTGCCACAGCTCATAGCTGGAATCCACCAGACATGGCAGAGGAAGTGGGGATGGCCTCCTAAAATTGTCTAGGGGATACCCCTCCTGGTGAGGCCCTAATTCCCCCTGGCGATGGGCATGCTGTCGCTATGGCACCTGTCACTCCGCCTAGCCCTGCCCACCTCAGTCCTCAATGACCCTGTGCCCGTGCATCTCCTCTGCCCCACGGGACCCACCTCAGTCCTCAATGACCCTGTGCCCGCACATCTCCTCTGCCCTACGGGACCCACCTCAGTCCTCAATGACCCTGTGCCCACACATCTCCTCTGCCCCACGGGACCACCTCAGTCCTCAATGACCCTGTGCCCACACATCTCCTCTGCCCCACGGGACCACCTCAGTCCTCAGTGACCCTGTGCCCACACATCTCCTCTGCCCCACGGGACCACCTCAGTCCTCAATGACCCTGTGCCCACACATCTCCTCTGCCCCACGGGACCCACCTCACAGCAGGGCGGCTGCTTCCAGCAGGTCTTCCCTGTCGCCCTGGGAACAGATCGCCTTTCCAGCTTTTCCTGCCTGTGACACTGGAAGCCGCGATCTTTCCGAGGGGACGGTTATTGCAACAGGGGACAAATACAAGGCCCTGGATGTCTCCTTCAGTCCAACTCATTTCTTCCTGGAAACACTTCACATCGCCACTCCCTCCCCCTCATTTCTCTTATTTAACAACATAAACTCAGTCGGAAGGATTTAAGTGCACTAAGGTGCTAGTAATGGTGAGTCTTACTGTGATCAAAGACCTCAGTGAGGATTAGCAGACATTTGGAAGGAAGCCCAGTCAGTGGCTGGCCGGCGTGTCCCACACAGGAGCTGAGGGAGGTGGGCCTGGGCGGGTCTCAGTGCTGGGGAGACAGTGTGGATGAGGGAACAGGCTGTGGCAACAGGGGCTTCCACTTACTCCCCCCATGTCCTCCTCTTCTTGGCTATGAGAACGACCTGAGACAGTCCAGACCGTGGGTGAGGGGGATGTGGGGAGCTTTTCTGAGGGCATGATGCTTAAGCTTCTGCCCAAAGGGGGACTAATGCCTCTGTGCAAATGTAGGCCCTTCCCTGAGCGGGAGCTAAAAGGAGGTGGAAATGGGCACCCCTGGAGCAACCACTGGAGGAAAAAGGGGAGGGAGGTCCAGGCAGCAGCCAGGGCAGGTAAAGAACTTCTCTGGATGGGGCCATCCCGTGTGGCAGAGCTCAGCAGTGGCCATCTGTACTCCAGGGCTGTGATGATGGAATGACAATCAAGGCCCATCTGTATCATCAAAGTTAAAAGGTTATTTGGTAAAAGGCGTCTATTACCTTCATTCTGCTTTTCCTAAGCTGTTTTCCTTCTCCGAGTTGAGACAGATAGCCTTCAGAATTGGTACGACTAATTTTCATTTGGTTTCTATGGCTTCTCTGTGAATTGACTTGGGATTCGCTTTCTGTTCTCGACAATATGGGTGGAAAGGTGATGCCGGCGAAGGCCTCTGGCCTGGGCTGCACCCCGGTCAGCTGCGCCAAGGCCTGCTGGTGCTGCTCCATGAGCTGCCCCAGCCGTGCGCCTGGGGACGCTCTGGCCGGTTGGCTGTCAGAGGAGGGATGGAATTTCCTTAGTGGACAAAAAGCACAGATCTGTTAATGAAACCTGAATACATACATAGCATAAAATTCTTTATGAACCATTATTTTGATGTATTTATTACTCTGTAAATCACATTAATGACCATTAGCTTAACCTTTTCATAAATACATTAATTTCTTATCTTAAAATATTTCTATTTTTTTTTAGGGTACTCTAGCTTTTATTTATAACTATAATTTAATGTATTTAAAATAGAGAAAGAACACCATTTTGAAAAATCAAAGAACTTTCCACTCCAAAATACCCAAAGTGTTGGGTTAAATTAAACAAACATCCTTTTCAATATACAGTTAAATTTTAAAGAGAAGCAGGGAATCTTCAAAGACCCAAAACTAAAGGAAAAAAAAACCACAACCCTAAAACTAAAGCCGATTTTGTATATGTTGAAGCTATGGCTTTCTTGGGAGAAATTTTAGAGCTAAGAGCTTGAGTTCTAACATTTAACACTGGCACTGGACATCTGAGATCATGGCCCCATGTGGAGCAGAGAATTGGAACTGAGATACTACATGAAGTCTGTAACCCTCGAAAAGCTACATCTCAATGAAAAGGTGGATTAGTGACAAACTCATTCACCAGCCTTGAAAAACAACAGGGCAAGCCTGACAGTCTTGGTCTAGCCTCTGAATTAGAAAAAAAAAATCCTGTGAATTTCCATGGTAAAATATTTGGGGTTTAAATTAACCTTGCCCACACAATCATGGCAATTTAACACAAAGAAATGAACATAAAGATAATCCTGGAATAGGGATACCTCTGTAGTAACTGGTGTAAACAAATAAAAAAGTTCTCTGGAGGGATACACTCTCACCCAAATCTGCTTAGCAGTCTACAGACAAGATGGCTAAACATAAGTTCACATCCAAAATCTTAGAACATATGATGAAATGTTCTACCAAGTATGTAAGTTAGCAGACAAACATGCATACACACACAAAGCAGTAGCATATTTCTAAGAAATTCAGATAATAGAATATTAGATAATATTCATTAAGTAAGCATATTTAAAATAGTTAAAGATATGAAAAAAGAAGTCAAAACTCTGAGAAACATATTTGGAAAAAAGAACAGGAAGGTTTTAATCAGAATCAAATAGAAATTATAGACATGAAAATTACCCTTATTAAAATGTACAACTCAATGGTTACATTAATGAACATATTGGGACTGAGAACCTATTTGTAGAAATAATGACTGAAAACTTCCCAAACTTGGTGAAGGAAAAAGACACACAAGTCCAGGAAACACAAAGGGTCTTGAAGAAAATAAACCCAAAGAGGCCCAAACTGAGACATATCATAATTAAAATGAAGAAGGTTAAAGACAAAGAGAAAATCTTAAAACCAGCTAGAGAAAGACAGTTAGTTATCTACAAAGGACCTCCCATAAGACTGTCAGTTGATTTTTTAACAAAAATATTTCAGGCCAGAAGGGGTTGGCATTAAAATATTCAAAGTGATGAAAAGTAAAAACCCACATCCAAGACTACTTTATCCAGATAGGCTATCATTTAAAATTGAAGACAAAATGAACTTTCCAGACCAAAAAGAAAAAAAAGCGAAAGGAGTTTGTTACCACCAAACCAGTATTACAAGAATTGTTAAAGTGCCATTTTTAATATAATAATAATAACTATAAAAAGGAAGAGGAAGAGAAGGAAAAGAAAAAGAAACAGATGAACACAGTCAAAAGAATAAAATGGCAATAAATATGTACCTCTCAATATTAACTTTAAATATAACCTGCTTAAATGCTTCAATCAAAAGACATAGGGTAGCTAAATGGATCAAGAAACAAGACCCATATATATGCTGTCTACAAGAGACCCACCTCAGAATGAAAGATAGACACAGACTAAAACTAAAGAGATGGAAAAAGATATTTCATGCAAATTGAAAAAACAAAAAAGTTGGGGTAGAAATACTTATATCTGACCAAATAGAGTTTAAAACAAAGGTTATAGTAAGAGGCAACAAAAGTCATTTCACAATGATAAGGGGGGCAATTCAATAAGGGGATATAACCCTTGTAATCATTTATACACCTAATATAGGAGCACCTAAATATGTAAAGCAAATCTGGGTGGACATAAAGGGAGAGATCAATAGTAATAAAGTAAGGGATGTGAACATACCATTGACATCATTGGATAGATCTTTCAGACAGAAAATCAACAAGGAAACAGTGGCTTTAAATGACACACAAGGTCAAATGGATTTAATTTATATCTTCAGAGCATTTTACAACAAAGCAGCAGAATATATATTTTTTTCGAGTGTCTGTGGAACATTTTCTAGGATAAACCACACGGTAGAACACAAAACAAGTTTCAATAAACTTAAGAAAATTAAAATCATATCAAGCATCTTCTCTGACCATGACGGTATGAAACTAGAAATAAATCACAAGAAAAAACAAAAACACAAAAGACATGGATGCTAAATAACATGTTACTAAGCAATGGATAGATTAACAATGAGATCAAGGAAAGGATCAAAAGATACCTTAAAACAAATAAAAATGAGAACACAACAACCTAAAACTTATGGGACACAGTGAAAGCAGTCCTAAGAGGAAAATTCATAGCATTACAGTCCTACCTCAAGAGATAAGAAAAGTCTCAAATAAACAATTTAAATTTATATTTAAATTGGAAAAAGAATAACAAACAAAGCTCAATGTGAGAAGGAAGGAGCCCGGCTGGTGTGGCTCAGTGGTTGAGTGTCATCCCATGCCCCAAGAGGTCGCTAGTTTGATTCCCAGTCAAGGCACATGCCCAGGTTGTAGGCCAAATCCCTAGTGGGGTGCATGCAGTAGGTGGCCAGTCGATATTCTCTCTTATCGATGTTTCCATTTCTCCCTCCCTCTCCCTTCCTCTCTCTCTAAAATCAATAAAGGAAAAAAAATTAAAAGAAAAAAGGAAGTAATAAAGATCAGAGCAGATATAAATGAAATAAAGTGTGAAAAAATACAAAAGATAATAAAACCAAGAGCTGGCTTTTGAAAAGACAAACAAGATTGATAAACACTTAACCATATCCATCAAGAAAGAAAGAGAATGCTGGCCAGTGTGGCTCAGTTGGTTGGAATGTTGTTCTATGTACCGAAGTGTCACGGATTCAATTTCCAGTTGGTCCACCTACCTAGGTTGTGAATTTGATCCCTGGTCAGGGGTGGCATGGGAGGCAACCGATCAATGTCTCTCTCTCTCTCTCCCTCTCCCTACCTCTCTCTGATCAGCGAAAAACACATCCCCGGGCAAGGATTTCAAAGAGAGAGAGAGAAAGGACCCAAATAAAATCAGAAAAAAAAAAAAAAAAGAACTAATAACTGACACCAAAAAAAAAAACCAAAGGATTGTAAAAAAATATTATGAACTACTATATGCCGACAAATTGTACAATCTGAAAGAAATGAATAAATTTCTAGAAACATACAATCTTTCAAAATTGAAGCAGGATGAATCAGGGAATCTGAATAGACAGATTACAAGTAGTGAAATTGAAGCAGTAATAAAAAACCTCCCAATAAACAAAAGTTCTGGACTGGATGGCTTCACAGGTAAATTTTACCAAGCAGTCAAAGAAGAACTAATATCTGTCCTTCTCAAACTATTCCAAAATTTTCAAGATAAGGGAAGACTCATAGCTCATTTTATGAGGCCAACATTACACTAATTCCAAACCAGAAAAAGAAACTCCAGAGAAGGAAAAGTAAAGGCCGATTCCCCTGATGAACATAGATGCTAAAATGCTCAACAAAATATTACCAAACCAGATCCAGCAACACATTAAAAACATTGCAGGGAGGAGGAGGGTCACTGGGGGAAAATAGTGGAGACATCTGTAATACTTTCAACAATAAAGATAAAATAAAAACAAACAAAAAAGAAACCCCATCATACACCATGATCAAGTGGGATTTATTCTGGGGATGCAAGTTTTGACAATATCCACAAATAAAAAATTGTGATACATCACATAAAAAAAATGAAGGATAAAAACCACATGATTATATACAGATGCAGAAAAAGCATTTGATAAAATCCAGCACCCATTTATGATAAAATCCCTTAGTAAAGTGGGAATAGAGGGAACATACCTCAACATAATAAAGGCCATATGTAACAAACCCACCACCAACATTATACACAATGGGTAAAAACTAAAAGTGTTTCCCTTAAGATCAGGAAAAAGACAAGGATGTCCACTTTCACCACTCCCCTTTGACATAGTACTGAAAGTCCTAGTTACAGCAATCAGACAACAAGAAGAAATAAACAACATCTAAATTGGAAAGGAAGAAATAAAACTGTCATTATTTGCAGATGACATGATATTGCACATAGAAAACCTTAAAGATTCCACCAAAAAGCTACTAGATCCAACAAATGAATTTGGAAAAGTAGCAGGCTACAAATTAATATTCAGAAATTGGTGGCATTTCTATACACCAATAATAAACTATCAAAAAGAGAATTGGAGAAAACAACTTTATTTATGATTGCATAAAAAATATAGATGTAAAAAACCTGTACTCAGAAAATTATAAGACACTGAGGTAAAAAATTGAAGAAGATACAAATAAGTGGAAGGCATATACCATGTTCATGGATAGGAAAAATTAACATCATTAAAATATCCATACTCCCCAAAGCAATCTATAGATTCAACAAAATTCCTATCGAGATACCAATGGCATATTTCACAGAACTAGAACAAATATTCCAAAAATTTATATGGAATCAAAGACCCCGAATGGCCACAACAATACTGAAAAAAGAAGAACAAAGTTGGAGGAAACACGTTACCTGATATCAAGCTATACCAAATGTCATATTAATCGAAACAGTGTGGTACTGGCATAGAAACAGACATATAGATCAGTGAAATAGATTAGAGAACCCTGAAATGAACTCATGCCTTTACGGTCAATTAATATTTAACAAAGGAGGCAAAAACTTACAAAGGGGTAAAGACAGTCTATTCAATAAATGGTGTTGGGGAATTGGACTGACAGGTGCAAAAAAAATGAATCTAGACCACAAACTTACATGAGACACAAGAATAAACTCAAAATGGACTGAAGACTTAAATGTTAGACTCAAAACCATAAAACTCCTAGAGGAAAACACAGGGAGTAAAATCTAGAACATTTCTCATAGCAATATTTTTTTCTGATATATCACCGCAGGCAAGAGAAACAAAAGAAAAAATGAACAAGTGGGATTATATTAAACTATAAAGTTTTTGCACAGCAAAGGAAAGTATCAACAAATGAAAAGACAACCTACTGAATAGGAGAACATATTCTTCAATGATAAGAGCTAAAAACAATCTAAGAAATGGGTGCCCTGGCCGGTTTTGCTCAGCGGTTAGAGCATTGGCCTCTGGAACAGAGGGTCCCAGGTTTGGTTCCTGCTAAGGGCATGTACCTTGGTTGCAGTTTGTCCCCAGCCCTGGTTGGGGTTGTGTGGGTGACAACCAGTCGATGTGTCTCTTTCACATCAATGTTTCTCTCTCTTCCTCGCTCTCTCCCTCTCGCTCTATCTGAAATAAATGTACAACTGTCCTCGGGTGAGGATAAAAAAAAAAGAAAAGAAATGGGCAAAGGACTTGAATAGACACTTCCTCAAAGAGGTCATTCAGATGGCCAATGGACATATGAAAGGTTGCTCAACATCTTTAATCATTAGATAAATGCAAATTGAAACCACAATGAGATATCACTTCACACCTGTTAAAATGGCTATTATCAATAAATCCACAAACAATAAGTGTTGGTGAGGATGTGAAGAAAATAGAACCCTTGTGCAGGGTTGGTGGGAATGCAGACTGGTGCAGCCACTGTAGAAAGCTGTATTGGGTTACCCCAAAATATTAAAAGTGAAACAGCCTTATGACCCAGGATTCCACTTCTGGGAATATATCCAAAGAAACCCAACCCACTGATTTGAAGGAATATATGCACCCCTATGTTCATTGCAGCATTATTTACAACAGCCAAGATTTGGAAGCTGCCCATGTGCCCATTAGTAGATGAGTGGATTAAAAAGCAGTGGTAGCCCTGACCAGTTTGGCTCAGTGGTTAGAGTGTCGGCCCTCAGACCAAAGAGTCATGGGTTCAATTCCAGTCAAGGGCACGTACCTCTGTGGTTCGGTTCCCGGCCCTGGTCGGGGTCATGCGGGAGGCAACCAGTTGATGTCTCTCTCATATCAATGTTTCTCTCTCTCTGTCTCTCTCTCCCCCTCCCTCCCACTCCATCTGAAGATAAATGGAAAAAGATCCTTGGGTGAGGATAAACAACAACAACAACAACAACAACAACAAGCTGTGGTACATTTACACAATGGAATACTACTTGGCCGTAAAAAAAGAAAAAAAAAGAAAAGAAAGAAAAGGCAATCTTACCTTTGCGACAGCACAGATGGACCTGGAAAGTATTATACTAATTGAAAAAAGTCAGTCAGAGAAAGACAAGCACCATATGATTACACTTACATGTGGAATCTAATGAACAAAATTAACTAACAAAGCAGAAACAGAATCATAGATACAGAGAACAGACTGACAGCTGTCAGAGGGGAGGTTGTTTGGGTGGCTGTGTGAAAAAGGTGAAGGGATTAAGCAAAAAACAACCAAACCAAACGAAAACAAACCCCACAAAACTCATAGACACAGACAACAGTGTGGTGATTGTTAGAGGGAAAGGGGGTGAGGAAAGGTAGAAGAGGGTAAAGGGGGAATAAATGACTTGAGGTGGTGACCACAAAATGCAATACATAGATAATGTATTATAGAATTGTACACCTGAGCCCTGGCCAGTTTGGCTCAGTGTTTAGACTGTCGGGCTGCGGTCCAGAGAGACCCGGGTTCAGTTCCCGCTAAGGGCATGTACCTTGGTTGCAGTGTGTCCCCGGCCCTGGTTGGGTCGTGTGGGTGGCAGCCACTCGATGTGTCCCTTTCACATCGATGTTTCTCTCTCTCCATTCCTCCCTCTCTCCCTCCTGCTCTATCTGAAGATAAATACAAAAATGTCCTCGGCTGAGGAGAAAAGAAAAAAATTTATAAGAAGGAATAGTCAAGATGGTAGAAATAAATCTAAATATATGAGTGTCACAATAAATGTGAGTAGCTTCAAGTTGAAATCTGCCTACAAACAATAGCAGAACAAAGTGAAACAAAAAATTCACATGACTGAAATAGTTTTACAAAAAATTCTATTAAACCTTGAAGTGATAGAAGGATCTCGGAGAATGTAAACAGGGGAATATTCCCCAACTCGTTTTGTAAGGCTGTGTAATCCTGATGATGCCTGATGGGGCCAGCGGCAGAGAGAGAACTTTAAGCCCATCTTGCTCATGAATGTGAATGTTGAATCCAGAGTGCTGACAAATCAAATCAAGACATTTATTAAAAATACAATATGACAAGTTAGGTTAATCCTAGGAACAAAAGGGTAGTGCATGTTAGAAAATGTTAATATATTTAACCACACTAAAGGACAGAGGGAGAAAAATTTTCAATTGAGGCAGAAAAAGATTTGCAAAACCTTTCCAAAAGGAAGAGGAACAGGAGGAAATTTCCTACCTATCTCCCCTCCTTATATGCCAAAAATTAGATATTATTTTTTAATGGTAAAAATGTTAGAAGCACTCCCTTTAAAGCCAGGTAAAAAAGAAAAAGCATGATCTCTTCTAGGAAACTAACTGAATCTCATTGAATGCACATTCCATACCTCCAATTGTAGCTCTTAACTGTCTTCTGATCGATTCATATGTGAACAATTGTCTCCTGACTTTGAAAATAAGTTCCTTGAAGGTACCCCCATGCATCATACTACCTTTGTTATCTTCTATAGCATTTTAACACCATATTCAGCATATATCAGGTGTGTATTACACACATTTGATTGAATGGTATTATGACATGTCTCCTGAAATGATTTTTAAAATAACTTTCCTTTTTCTCTGATTGTAGAAGTAATCTACACTGTAGGGAACTTCAACAATTCAGAAATTATAAAGAAGAAATTGAAAATAACCCAATCATCCTGGCCAGTTTGGCTCAGTGGTTAGAATATCGGCCTGCAGACCAAAAAGTCGCAGGTTCAATTCTTGGTCAAGGGCACATACCTGGGTTGCAGGTTTGATCCCCAGCTCCTGTCAGGGTGGTGTGGGAGGCAACCAATTGATATTTCTCTCTCTCTCTCTCCCTCCCTCCCTTCCACTATCTCTAAAAATCAATGGGAAAATGTCCTTGGGTGAGGATTAACAACAACAAGAAATAACCCCAACTTCTCTTACCACAGGCAACCACTTTTGACATTTTCCTTTTTCTGTGCACATTTTAATATAGCAGAGCACAAACTCCTTCAGTGTGATTTTGCATCTTACTAGTTTCTATTTATAGAAACATTTCCTCCTAACCCTAACTTTTAATAGTTACATCATATTAAATATCACAATTTAAATAGACATTTCCTTATTGTTAGATTGAGGTTGTCATTTCTGTAAATGATATTTTTATGCCTATATATTTTTCTGTATTTTAGATTCTTTTCTTAGGGTAGGGCATTATAGTGTCGGAGATAATTTGTTTTCTCCAAACATTATTGTAACCCTCAAAATCTAGTGACCTTTCCTGACTGGGTCTCTTGTCCTTCTTGCCTTCTCCCATCCCTCCAACCTCTGGTTTAATGGTTTAACTAGAGTGGAGAAAGCAGAAGAGACAGGAAAAAAGAAAATAAATACATAAAAAGTGGACTATTTTAGGCAGATATTAGAGCCAAGGACGTTGTGAGGTGAATTTTTCCTTTCATCTGACCATCCCATGACCCCCTGCCCCTGCAACTTCCCACTGTTCCTCGTTTTTCTCCAGCAGCCTCTCATTTCTCCTCCAGAAAACCACTTGAGAGAAAAGCATTCTTACCATAATATTTCCAAGTTCTTATACTTTGTCTCTGGAAGAGTTTGTTTGGGTTGCTTCTTATTTTCAGTTGCTCTATTAACATTTAAGTCAGAAACAGACTGAGAGCCTTTGTGACCCAGGGGCACTTGTGACGTCGTAAGTTCATCAAGGTAGTTCGAGTCCACATTGGAAAGAGTGTTGATGTGTGGCTGCTGGTATGAAAATCTTTTCTCTTCTTGGCCTTTGTATCCTCTTTCTTTATTAAAGCCCATCACTGAGTGATAGCTAGTGGTGTTTTTATGTACTACCTTGTCAAAAGTCTGTTGTGGTGGAGAAAATTTATTGGAGGTTGCTTTTGGATCCTGGCTCATAAGTGCACTTGAGTATTGTAAATTGCTGTTAGGAACATTCACAATTACAACTGTTTCATGCTTTATTGAAGTATCGATACGCTTATTTTGATTCTGTGGCTGTCTAGCAGTGTTTTTCTGGTTAACTTGGCTGAAAAGCAGCTCTTCAGTCACCAACGACTTCAGGCCATGACTGCATTTCTTCTGTCTTCGAATCTTGTGCCTGGTTGGTTTTCCGGAAGGTTGCTGACCATTGGTTGTTTCAGAAGATTGAACTCTTGGTACATTACTTGATTTTGCTCTTTCATGTTGAGACCAGTGTTCCTGGTAATTCCAAAAAGATATTTTTGGTTACTGGAAAGCTAAAAGATTGGCACTCTTCACAAATTTTAAATTAGTTTTTATCAAACTAGGAGTTGAGACTGGTAGGAAGGTAACTGGTCCTTTGTTAATTTCAGACAATGAGAAGGGAATTAGCTGAGTGTCTCCTCCTGGAGACTTTAGATTATAAATATTCTAGAAAGAAATAGAGAGTTTAGAATGGGCCTTATATCAAGGACAAGTCTTTGACTTAAACGTTATAAAATGAAGTGTTACCAATTCGAGGAGGGGGGATAAGCTTGACCTCTAAAGAGCTGTGTACAAAGAAAGTGCAAATATACCTCAAAATAGTCAAGTTTATTTTAACTAATATGACTATTTAAGAAATATTAACCAGAAAAAACATTAATGATTTGCCTTACCAACCAAGCACAAGTTTAGTATGACATACAATTCATTTATCAGATCTTTTTACTCATGTAGTTCAGAAGCTAGAAATGACCTCCTCACCAGAAGAAGTAAATTACATTTTATTCAGAGCATTGTAAAAGAGTCTGCACTGCGATAGGATGTCTGTGAAATCACAAGGGTTGTTTTGCTTCTGTTCTTTAATATAGCCTGTACTTAGGCAATCAAACATCTGGGGGAAATATTTCAATTTCACAATAGTCTCTATGCTTTTCAAAGTACTGTAACAACAAAATGTACTCCTGATATAATAGATGCACTATGTAACTATATTGTGCTAAGCCATTTAGAAGTATTGCCCAAGGAATGAAGCACTCATCACTTTGTGAAAACCTGGCCGAGTAAAGAGGCCTTTGAAAGACTGATTAGACGCTCACTGAAAACAGTGAGGTGGCCATCGGCATCAGCATGTCACATACGTGCACACATTTCCTCCCTCCTGCACACACGTGCACGAAATCTCTGTGCTCTGTATCCATAAAACATTAATCTAAATAAGCAAGTTACCCAGATAATTTGAGAAAAAAGCTTAAAGCAATTAAGTCATGCTTTTGCTCAAACTGTTTGCTTTAGCTTGCTATTGCTATTTCACTTTCCCAATATAATCACTAAGACTCTTCCTGTTCCTATACAATATTAAGTGATATTCTATTTTGAATGAGATCTCATTATAATGATCAGGTTGAGACTATTTAAAACATTAATAAACAATATTGCTTTTCATGTCAGACTTTTAAGTAAGAATGGCTTATAATGAGACATTTAGAGTATGTGCTCCTTAGGATTTGAGCTTTCTGGAGGATTGGACACATTCTGATGAGCCGCTATACACTTTGTTTTACCTGTGGTGCTCCAATATAGAAAACGTTCTTTTTGTATTTCAATTATGACAGGTTGTGGCCCTGGCCGGGTAGCTCAGTTGGTTAGAACATTGGCCCAATACACCAAGGTTGTGGGTTTGATCCCTGGTCAATGCACATTCAAGAATCAACCAATGAATGCATAAGTAAGGAGAACAAAAATCTCTCTTTCTCTCAAATCAATTAAAAGGAAGGAAGGAAGGAAGGAAGGAAGGAAGGAAGGAAGGAAGGAAGGGAGGGAGGGACAGAGGGAGGGAGGGAGGGAGGGAGGGAGGGAGGGAGAGAGGGAGGGAGGGGACAGGTTCTTCTTCCCATGCAATATATTGAGCCGCACGTGGGAAATATGGGCAAGAAGGCTCTGCCAATAGCCCAAGGGCATCCTTCCTGTAGTGGATCCAGAAGAAAATTGTTGTTTCACAGTCTTGTATGTGTATTCACGAAACACTGTGGCTCTTTCCATGGCTGTCATCACTGTTTATGAAAGGCAAAAGAGACCCCCTTTGCTATGATTTATAAATATTTATTGATGCTGATAAAGTCATTCTATTTATTTATTTATTTATTATTTATTTTTATTTTTTTTTATCCTCACCCGAGGACATTTTTCCATTTTTTGTTCAGGTAGAGTAGGAGGGGGAGAGAGGAACAGAGAGAGAGAGAAACATCGACATGAAGGGACACATCGAGTGGCTGCCACCTGCACGACTGACCAGAGCCGGGGACAAACTGCAACCGAGGTACATGCCCTTAGCGGGAACCGAACCCGGGTCTCTCGGGACCGCAGGCCGATGCTCTAACCGCTGAGCCAAACCGGCCAGGGCTAAAGGTCATTCTTTTTAATATGTATTCAGTCTTTTAATTGCTAGAGAAATAAGTGACCAGAAACTCTTTTTCTGTTGCCATCCAACTATACTTGTTTTAGTTCTCTCTCCTCATTCCTACCAAAAAAAGACCTATTAGGGATTTTTTTCCTGAGTACCAGATCTGAAATCTTGGGGGCACCACTTGGTTTTAGTCATGTTATACCTTTGCTGCTGTCAATTCAGGTTATAATAGTATTCTTCACAGGGTGCTTTGTCAATGAGGTCGAGGACTCATTATTTCATGAAACTTCAATTGTCTCAAGTGTTAAATTTGCTATTCACACAAATGTAAGTGCCCAGAGATGGTATTTCAGTCCCCAGAAAGGAAGACATTTATGAGCTTGATGTGGTTTCTCTTCCTTTCCCAGCAGCCTACTTGAGATCGCGGTATACTGAGGATTTATTACCCTACAATTGAGGCATCAGGTGTCACTCTTTAGGTGGCAAGACCTGAGTCCCCTGAAGTTAATGCACAAAGCCATTCTCGGGCTGTTTAATCTCCAGCAGCACTGAAATCCTCGATTCCTTCTGGCTCTCGCTGGGGCTCTTTGTCGCCAACACGCGGTCAGCCCACTCAGTAGTGCTGGACAGCAGCAGGTTTTCCTGACACACTCAGCAGGGTCCTTGGGGTGGACAGTTAGCATCGGGGAACCCTGATGCCTAATGCTAGGATGATGATTTCTTAGTAAGACCCGTACTTAGTTATTAATGTTTGTTTCTACTGGGCCATCTGCGGGAAGATTGCCCCCCACACTGTGAAAGGCAGCACCCAGAGCTTTCCTCTTTCATGCTTTGCTGTTTACATGGCATAAGCACAGGAGAGCATACATGCTCTGATCTCAGCCAAGACTTTCACCTGCTTTAGAACAAAACCCATTCTCACTCTCAAAGTGAAGACACACACCTTCGTATCTCTCTGGCAGTTACCCTGATCAACCGTGGAGTCATGGGGGTTGAGTCCGTGCTCCAAGATGAGTTCTGACATAGAGAAGTTTCTGTTGTGTTTATTAACAATAAAGCATCCAGTCAAGATGGCGGTGTAGGTACACATGGCATGCACATCCTGCTACAACCACATGAGAGTTACAACTAAACTGCAGAACAATCATCATTCAGAATCACTCGAAATCTAGCAGAGTAGAAGTCCTACAACTGAGGATATATAGAAGTCGTGTGAAGACTGATAGGAGGGCAGAGACACTGAACAGGCTGGTCCCACAACCACATATAGTGGTTAAAAATCAGGAGGGATGTCTTGGATGTGGAGGTCTTCACTGAGGAGCAAGGGGTCTCACCCCACGCCAGGTCCCCCAGCCCAAGGTCCAGTTCCAGGAAGAGAAGTCCTCATAACTTCTTGCTGTAGAAACCAGTGGAGATTGTGGCTGAGTGAGAGGGAGGCTACAGGTATCCCTCTTTAAGGGCCCACACACAGACTTATTCTGGCTCACTCACTCAGAGCTCCAGCACAGGGGAAGCATCTCGAAAGGCACCAGGGACATATGGAGAGGAACAGAACTGTCTAATGAGAGTTGGAGGGGCAGCTTTCTCCCAGAGAGAAGTGCTGGCAGAGGCCATTGTTTCTTTGCTGAGCCTTCCCCCCACAGAGCCCACTGTAAGTGAGTCTCCGTCAACCTGGCTCACACTGTTTGACCAGCCCTGGTGATTCCCCAAGACCCCGCCCCACACAACTTGCAGACCCACCCAAACCACTCCCAGTGGCTTTTCCATACAAACAGCCTGTCTTGACTCATGTGCAGATTTTCCTAAAATCTTTCAAAGGTTCAAAAACCCCAAACAGACAGGATTTGGCTTTCGTGTGCGCCATACCTCTTGCTAAGTAGCCCTAGGTTCAGCATTAGCAGCAGCTGGCCTTGGTTAGCAGCTTGTCCTCTCACAAGTAATTCCAAGCCTAGCACAAGTAGCAGCCATCTGCAGATCATTTTGTAGCTCATGCTGGGTGGCTTACCTTGGTCTACATCTCCTGGGAGATCCCAGAGCCAATGTACCTGGTAGACAGCTTCAGACCAAGCCAAAGTACCACCCAATCACTTCCACAAGCAACATACTCAAGAGGATGAGTCACCAGGAACCAGAGCTCCACTGAAGCAAGTCCTTCTATGTGGTTGGTGCCCTGCACAGCCAATCCTCCACTGTGGTTGTGGCCAGTCTTCAACACCAACAGGCCTTGGGGTAAATCCCTCCTGTTGAACTGTCAACAGCAATCAAGTCTCAACTACAACAGGAGGGTACACACAGTCCACAGATAGGGCACACCTGGAGTGCCCAGCTTGGGTGACTGGGAGGCTATGCCTCTGGGCCCTACTTTATAAAGCCACTCTACCAAGACCTGGAGACATAGCAGCTCTACCTAATACATAGAAACAAACACAGGGAGGCAGCCAAAATGAGTAGACAAAGATACCTGTTGCAAATGAAAGAACAGAACACAACTCCAGAAAAAGAACTAAACAAAATGGAGACAAACAATCTACCAGATGCAGAGTTCAAAACACTGGTGATAAGGATGCTAAAGGATCTCAGTGAGAACTTTAACAAAGAGATAGAAACATAAAAGTGGAGATATAAAACATTAAAAGAAACAGTCAGAAGTAAAGTACAATTACAGAAATGAAAAATACATTACAGGGAAGCAATAGTACAGTAGATGAAGCTGAGAATTAAATCAGTGATTTGGAAGATAAGGAAGCAGAAAACACCCAATCAGAACAGCAAAAAAAAAAAAGAATCCGAAAAACCAAGGATAATTTTAGGAGCCTCTGGGACAACCTCGAGCATACCCAAATTTGCATAA